CGGGGCGCGGGGCCGGCAGGGATGGAAGGAACTCGGGGCCAAGGAGCGTGAGGTCGGCGGTGGTGAGAGGCAGGTCTGGGGTCACCCCGCCCCAGCCCAAGGCCTGGGCGAGGGGCCGGCCAAGCCTGGCGTCCCCTGTGCCGACCCCCCGGCCTGGCTCCGCGGCGCGGGCCTCTGGTGGGCTCGGCCAGCTGGCTAGGCGGGGCCGCAGCCCCCTTGGTCAGTGCAGGGCGGTGGTGGGGAGCCCTCTGACGGGCCGCGGCCTCGGGGCGGGACAGGCAGCGGGGCGCAGGAGGCCGCTGGGCCAGGGGTCACCCGCACCCAGGGCCCCACAGACCCACCTCCCTGCTGTGGGGGAAGTGGCAAAGCTGCTCCCTGCTGGCCGCTCCCCAGCGGGCGAGAGGCCAGGCCGTTGGGGGCCCCGGCCCCTCCCAGCCCCGCCAGGCCCGCTGTGTGGGCCCCGGGGTGCGGGCGCCACGCCGGGCCGCCTGCAGGCCGGGAGGCCAGGGTCCGGCCGTGGCGCAGAGGCCGAGGGGCTCGGGGGAGGTCCGCGGCCACACGCCAGGCATGGCACGGGCCTGAGGGCTGGGCAGCTGGGAGGGGCCCGGTCAGGCTGGGGCCTGCGGCCGTGAGGGGTGGACAGCAGCCAGACCAGGGAGGGGCAGGGGTAGAGGGGTCCTCCAGGCCTGGGTGGGGGTATTGGGAGGCCAGGGCTCAGCACCCCGTGGGGTGTCGGGTGCGGCTGGGGAGAGCCATGGAGGAGGTCGTGGGCACAGGCCTGGGGGCCGGGACAGGGCCCAAAATGGGTGGAGAGGCCCGGGCGGGGCGGGCAGAGCCTGGGCGGGGGCTGGCTGCTTGCGGCAGCTCTGCGGGGCGCGTGTGCCCGGGGGGCGCGTGCGGGGCTCCAGGGCGCCACCGCAACAGCGCCCTTGGCCGGCGAGACGGGGGTACCCCAGGGCCGCTCCCCCTCTGAGGTGAGGACAGGCGGGCAGCCGCTAGGTCGGTGTCTGAGGCCTGCCAGATGGACCTTCCAGGACCAGGAGAAAGCAGCAGGGCCTGGCGTCCCGTGCGGCCAGGGACCGGTGGGGTGGCCAGTCGCCCAGGGAAGGGTGCCCCGGGGCACTGGCCGCAGCGCCCCACCCAGCACTGGCAGGCGAGGGGCCTGTCTGGCCGCAGAATGGCTCTGTGGGGTCTGAGGGCAGAGGTGCCACAGCTGAGCTGGACCTTGGGGCAGAGCGGGACAGCGGGGCAGGGCAGGCCACCTGACCCCACGAGAGGGCAGCGGGGGGTTCTGAAAAGACGCCCTCAGGAAGGGGGCTGTGTGCACCTGCACCGGGCCGGCCCCGCCCCCAAAGCGAGGGTGCTGAGTGGGGGCACACACCCCTTGCTAAAGCAGCGTGTCCACTCTGCTCAGGGCTGCCCCCATGCTGGCCAGGCGCAGGGCACAGCTGGGCGGGAAGTGCAGACGGCCGCCAGTGGACGGGGCTCCAGGATACCAGGCGGGTCCCTCTCCTGCCGCGGCCCTGGGGCACCCGAAGGTGACACCAGCCGTCGGGAGGGTGAGGTGCGGCCGAGTTCCGCCTGGCCTGGGGAAACCTGGGCCGCCCGGACCCCTCGAGCCCGGAGCCGGGTGTGGGGGCGGCGCCGCTCTGGCCGGTGACCTTGGGTGAGGCGCAGCCACCCGGCTGGACCGGGCGACCAGGCGGCCGGAGTCCGCGCTCGGCAGAGGCG